AGGCAGATGTAGCTAGGTATGATATTTGAAATTATTTTCAGACATTTTCCATTGTTGAGGACAAAAGGTTTATAATACAGAAAGCAATTAAGCATTAAGACCAGTTAAAATATGTAACTTCTTTATGCTGACAGAACAGGGAGTTCCACTCCTCCAGCCTACTTAAGCTCGAAGTGGGCTGTATGTAGCCCACGATGTAAAATGAGTTCAACACCTGCTGTAGGCTTTTGCCTGCTGTGGTGATTTGATGCAACAAATTTGAGTCGAACTGAAAATTTTGAGATATTTATAAATCGTGACAAACACAATAACAAGAAAAGTCTTAAGAGATTTTAATACAAGAAGAATACAACAATAATAAAGCTATGAGATAAGCTATTTTTAACAACGTATTGCTGTACATTTATTTCCTCTGATTGAATGCATCATCTTGTCCATCTTTAGTTCTATAACAGATCATTAAAGTACAGTTAGTAGCAATACAAAATCAAATTAAGCCAAGTAATAAAACTGCATAAATGTAAGCCGATCATCAATGGGAATATCAACAGGAAGCTTGGTTAAACAATAAAAAAATCATAAACAACAAAAAATCTACTATTTTCACATTTTTTAAAGTCGGACAGAGAGAAAAACGACCAAGAAAAGCAACAAATGTTCCCAACCAGACTAGACTGACAGTGTTGCAGGTCAGGGATTATACTGAGGCGCATGCATGTGCGCACATCTATATTAAAATGCAGTTAATTTCAATACATTTAAACCCACTGCTATGATAGGCAGTGACATGTGTCATGACGACATGATGTATAAAGAAAGAAACATCCGCTAGATAATTTCATAAGGTGGGTAAATAGAACTAATCCAATCCAAAAGACTTGGCCATGTAGATCTGCTTCTCAACTGCCTTTGCATCCTCTATTTTCCCTCTGTCAGCCTTCATCATTGTAAAGACAACAGCAGAAAACATAGACGTGTCCTTATTCTGGGGAAATAGGTTACATAAAAATATTAGAAATATCAAAATGTAAACAATCTTAAAAAAATCACTTTAGATTTATGAAAATAATCTGACAAATAAATACTTTACCTTTTGTCTTTTCTGATCGCTACAATTTTTCTGCAGGACAGCGCCTTGATTATAGAACATACACATTACAATTAATTCAAATGTAAGATTAATTAACATTTGTTTTTCATAGAGAACTGTGAGTAACTTAAGTTACCTTTGCAATGATTACTGCTGTTTTTTCTGATCGAATAAGTGAGGACAGCAGTAAGAATGAGAACGAAGACAGCGCACAGCAGAAAAATAACTATACTGGCCATCAGAGAGCAAATGCGGGTTTCTGGAATGAAAGTAAAAGTCAAAAACAAAGTTAGAAATGACTAAAAATAAATGATTTTTTATTTCTCCTCATGATGAAATTACTCGGAGCATGAAATCAAATTTTGTAATGCCTATTTAATGA